TCGGCAGCAATTCATTGCGCATCCGATTCGACGCACTGCTTGCCGCGGGGAGGCAGTCCAATGCAGTCCCTGCAACAAACAGGGCTGCTCCCCCCGCTTTCCTGAATCTTCAACATTCTTGGAGTGGCACAAGGCTCAGAAATTAATCCACGTGCTTACTGCAGTGTGCCTTGTATTCCAGTTCCATAACCTGGACTCTTCCGTATCTTTGCTGGCTACCACTCTATTTCATTTGTTGACCGCTCGTTTAAGGATCTTTTGAGCTCGCCAGCCCCGGCTATCGTTCGGGATGAATTGGCTAGGAATACCCAGATTGGTAAATGGGAAAGAAGAGCATAGTAAGAATGGGCGAGGGGCGAGCGAAACATGTAATCTGCATAACGTCAACACTTAGGTACTGTTCGTTCTCAGTACACTGACTTTATCAGCTGAGTAGTCCAGTGTATCAGTAAATTTGCTTGGACGGATGGCCCCCGCGTTTGATCATTTGCACCAAACAGTAGTATCCCTGGGCTCGGATATCAGCAGATAATGCTGCTTGGTCTTCACGGTGCAATATCAAACGACCATCCGTGATCTCCCAAGGTACTTGGAATCAGAGCGGCAATGAATAAACACTGTAGACTATGACGGATAAGATGACCCAACAGAGGATCGCGGTAATGAGAATCGGCGGGTGGCAGCTCCCGTTTAACAATTTAGTGGGGTACAGTATATCATGAAAATCCGGGCATAGAAGTCCTGCATCCGTTATCGAATGTAGTGGACCGTGAAGTTTTAGTCTTCCGTACGCTCGGGGATTGCAGCCCGGAGTCTCCAGTCGTCGGGTAACCAGCAAAAAACATGTCTTCTGTAAGATCACGCTACGCACTAGATTTCGTCAGTTCGTGCTCAAAGAGGTAAAATATGGAGCAATTGTTCGAAACATACAACGTAGCGTACGCTGTTTAACATGACATACCACCAAACATCCGTCGGGCCCTTGCAGAAACGGCAAAAATCCCATCGAGATCCGGCGATAGCCATGAAGATCACCGTTAGACCATCGGAAGTGTCATATCCACGCGGTTCCTCACTGCTGGTAGGACGTTGATCGGTATGGCGGTGTACAACTCAGAGGCATCCTTCGGACCCAGTGCTGGGTTCTGGGGCTAGTATTTAATTCGGGATGTTAGCCAACTCACACCAAGAGAAACAGCACATATTCTACCCCGTTGTCATCTGCTCCTTCATTGATCTTGCGGCATATCACCAAATCCTTCATACTTATAGTCACACAACTGCACCACCTTATACCTTTTTCAGACCAGCCGCTGCTAAAACTGTCTTGTCAATTGACCTCCATGTTTACTGAACGAAGATATTGCGTCATGTATCGCGCCCATTTCGATTTCATACTTGAGGACATCCCTCGGCCGATCTGGAGTAGCTGCGAGGATGTCGCGCCTATTCCCTATTCGGTGCATGATCCACCCTCGCCGGGCCCTATACCTCCTAATCCGCCCCCGAGCCCTGCATGATCTTCGATTGTTCAAGACTGGTTCTTTTCAAAGGACAGTGCAAATTAGTAGAGAAGGTAAGTTTATAAGCAACAACCTACCCCGCGATGCTGAGTATGTTCTGACAAATCTGCAATAGTACGTGATGGGAAGGGAATGAAATGTGCAGTGCACCATTGAATCAAAATCTTGACATCGTTATCAGGCGAAGGCAAGAAAGGGAGAATATCCTTGAGACATGTCAACTGCCAGGCTCTCAAGCCAAAGTCATGGGGGAAACGGACATAGAGGCGTGGCGGATTGCTTTTAATTTTGTCCTTTGATTTGAGGAGTTCACGGAGTAGAATGCACACTAGACAATGACACGGCCAGTTTCTGCATAAGAGCCATAACAGTCATGACCTAAGATTGCGTAGATCTCCAAACTCATGGCTTTAGGACATACCTATCGACAAGTACATTCCGTGAAATCAAGGCCATCGCTCCGCCTTCCCTCCGGGCGGTTGTAGGGGGTCACGGCTAAGGCATTAGTCTTTGTTTCAAATATCTCCTACATGCCGATAAATTCCACGGCTTGAACAGTTGAGACGGAGCTCAGAGTTCTGGGTGAGAAGATGTGAAGTTTAATCCAAAAACAGTCGTCAATTGACTGGTATAAAATATATTGCACGAAAACAATTTTAAAACACGACAGAAATCAGAGGTATGTCACAATAGTTCACAGGAAAGCAAGAATGAGAGCGCTAAGAGTACTCAGACCCACCACAGTCCAGCCGGACTTGATGACCTGGGCGTTGGTAAGACCAGCACCAGTATCCCAAATCAAGTGGCGCACTCCGTTCATGCAGTGGTAGGTGAAAGGCAGGGCCATGGTAGTCTTCAGGGCAACCTTGGCGACAACAGGGAGAGCGGCGAAAGCGGCGGCGGCGGAGGCAGAGCCCAGATCCCAACCGAGCATGGGAGAGGCGAGGTAGGCAGAGGCATAGAGGTAGAGACTTCCGGACAGCGCAATACCGGTGATACGGTGGATACTACTGCCGATCCATGTGATCTGGGGACGGTAGATGCTAAGGTGGGGAGAGACGGGGCGGTTGAGACGCTGCTGGGCGAGGAGCTTGGTAGGGTCGGAGGAGTTGGAGGAGGTAGCAGCGTGTCTGCATGAGAACGTTAGCAATCCATGTTCCGCCTCCACTTAGCGACATTCGCTTCATGACGTCGAATTCGATATCGCGAACCCCTCCCAAGTCGAAAGTCGCATCTGAGTATTCCAATCACGCATAGTAGCTCACCTAGTCTGAACGGCTCTTCCGAGAGCAACAGCAGCCGGAGAGACCGAGTTCATCAAAGACCAACGCAGGGCGTAGGGCTGCTGAACGGCAACTGCAACATTGAGGTCAGTGTCGCGCGATTAGCTAAAGAGGATGAAGTAAGTACGTACGCCGCCGCAGCGATTGTTGAGCAACCTTCTGAGAGAGCATGATGAAATTGATAACCTCAAGAAATGGTGAGAGGCTGAATCAGGCACACGAAGCTGACCGTCGTCGTCGTAGTCGTCCAAGAAGAAAGTAGCCTCGAACTGCCGACTCGCTCGTAACGCTTCGGAATCACGGGACGGACAACCTCGGGTTCACCTCCCAGTCACGGGACTTCACCCGATGCCCCGAAAACAGCCAATGAGCAGCCGTGCATTACCACTCGGAAGATCCATCTTCCATCTCCTCACCGCCCGCTAGTTCCGGCTTTTCGACTTTTGTGTGTTTCTCCCGTCGCTTTCTCTTCCTCTTCTTCTTTTTCTTCTCTCCCAAGGGTCTCCGCCCACGTTGTCTACCATTCGGGATGATGTCGACGTGCTTAGCAGGGCCTCACTGGTTCGGCATTCTGTCGTGACCGCCGAGGTCAAATGAGATACCTGAGAAGGAGCTGTCCCGTCGTTAATCGCCCATTCTTCTCTATCCTATGAGATGGAAGGGTTTCATATCAGGGTCACATGACTGTAGGATTCGCTACGAATTCGCGTAGAACCAGCCTTTTAAGGCCTCGTGTAGAGCAAGCATCAAAGCTATAATGTAGCTTGGAACATGGACGCCGTCGCTGAGATTTGGGAGGTCTTCCGCTTAGATGACAGGGGTTCGATAACACTCCTGAACGGTGATGTACTTGCTACATTGCTTGTCAATGATTGCTGCTGCTGTCTCGGCTCGATTTTGTTAAGCCCTCAACGTCTGTTTTCAAGGCAGACATCCAAACATAACTGCGATGTTGTGCGAGTGCAGAAAAGGCTTGCCAAACAAAAGCCCTGCAGTTAGTGGGAGAGTTCATTTGATAAGCGAGAGAAGGCCAGTCAATAATTACTTGAAGGCCATAGGGTGCTCAGCAGGCCCATCCATAAGCTCATCACAGCAACCTGCGATTTCTATCACGTTCAATATACAGAACTCTCGATCCCATGATCATGTTGTTGTCGCTTATCGAGCTTATCAAATGTCTTCTCCATAAGAGGCCTGATGTTCAGACCGGTAGTAGCCAAGAGAGATGTCTAATATATATCAACGGCTGAGGAAAATCATACAGAGAAAACGTACTACAATTCTTTGATTTCGCAGTAATATGAAGGCAGCTGATTCCAATGTAATTGTACAAGCGTTTGCTTCATAGTCATAGTCGATGCTCGCCTCATAAAACCGAACTTCCAGTCACTATCCCTAAATAAGCCCCAAGTAGCATGTAAGAAGTCTTCTCAAAGCCGGGGCAAGTGCGGGGAGAGTCCCGCAGCAAAATGATCATGGCACGCTAAACTCTGACAACCTCAACTAGTCTACAATTCTATTTAGAACCCATAACATTGTTCGGAGCATGCAAAAATATTGGTTGTTGAGATCTCAGGCGATAGGAACTATTGGGGCGGTGTATGGACAAGGAAAATGAGGAGTTGTGGTCATACAGTTGTCAACAGTATATCTATAGACAGGTAAGCTACAACCGACCACCACCAAGTTGCAAGTACTCCTGGCGATCGATATGCTCGCAAACCATGTAGTACTGGAACAAATTTTAAAAAATCATTATCTGTGTACCTTCCGTAGCACTTGGCTGACAACTGCCGATCAATATGTGTTTCCCGAAGCTTAACCTCGCCTTACTCAACATGTCAGAAGGCTATCCAATGATGTATCCTACGGACATGCTCCGTAGACATCGGTATTCTCTCCCGACCAACCCTCCGACCACCAAGAAGGTCGGAGAAAGAGACTCTCGGCCCGAAAGCGTCCAAGGAATCAATAGTATAAAGCAATTATTTAGGCTAAATAAATGAAATGGCATGAGGGGAGGTTTACGAGGCATGCTTATCTGATCTTCCCCTCCTCCCCTCCATGCCCAGCCCATCTAGCTCGTATTTCAATAGATCTCTTCATCTCTTCGACTCTCCAATACCAAGATATCATAGCTTCATCATCCAAATCACCAGTCAATAATCCACCATCAGACAGTACAGCAACCACCATGACTATCCAAACTGGACTCGACTACATCCGCTCTCGCTCCATTGTCGACTGCGACACCATGGACGAGCAAGGTACGTATCTTACTTCATGCACCTCCACTATCTACTAACATAAACGCATAGTTGCCAAAACCCTTGGTCCTTTCCACGACTGCACCTCCAACCAGGTATACACCTACAATTTGCTGCATCCACCCCATCCTTACCACCAAGCTAACAACACCACCAGGCAATAGCCTACAACGAACTCACCAAGCCCGAACATGCCGAGCTTCTCCAATCCTCTCACACCAAAGCCAAAGCTCTCATCCAAGAATACCCCGGTCTAACCATCGAAGAACTCGCCATCGAGATAGCAGTGCGTACACCTTCCCTTCTCCTTCCCAACACCATCAACTCACCACAAATACTATATATAAATCGAACTAGATGATATCCCTCTCCCTCAGAATCGCCCCCCACATCACCGGCCACATCCACATCCAAACAAACCCCTACTATTCCTACTCCACCGAAAAGACCATCGTCAACGCCCTCCGTACGTCCATCCATCCATCCATCCATCCATCCCCTCTACATACACACAATAGAACAACTGAACCACCACTAACCCCACCCCTGTGTACCCACAAAACAGGCATAGTCAACCTAACCCACCAGCTCTCGCCCACCCACCCCCAATCCCGCATCTGCATCAAAATCCCCAGCACCTGGGAAGGTCTCAAAGCATGCCAAGTCCTCGAACAAGCCGGGGTACGAACCCTCGCCACAACCCTCTTCACCATGCCCCAAGCCATCCTAGCAGCAGAAGTAGGATGCACATACATAGCACCATACGTGAACCAACTTCGAGTGCATTTTGAGCCGGGGTATACACCTCCCTATTAACCCCCCTCCCCCATAAACCCACACAACTATATCCAGTAGTACTAAATGAGAACCACAGCTTCAAAGACCCCTCCCCCCTACTACACTTCAGCGCCCTAGTCCAGAAATACTACGCCTCCATCGGATCCCAAACACAGGTATTACCCGCTAGTTTGACGTCCACGAACGAGATCTTCGCCTTGGCGGGCGTGCAGCATATTACGATTGCTCCTGGGTTATTGGATGAGTTGGCGAAGCCGTTGTTGGAGGGGAAGGTACCTGTGGAATCGTTGTTTGAGTCTCCTGCTGTGGTGGAGGCGGCTGTGCCTGGGAAGGAGGTGTCGTATGTGGGTGATGAGGCGGGGTATCGGATTGCGTTTACCAGGGATGCGAATGGGTTGAGTGAGGAGAAGTTGACTCAGGTGAGTTTGGTTTATGTTTTTCATTGTTTGGTTTGGTTGGGGGGATTGGGTGGTTAGGTTGTTGATGTTGATGATGATGATGCTAATAGGGCTATACTACTATCTAGGCTGTGAATATTTTCTGTGATATGCAGGATAAGTTGGTTCAGGTATTTAAGGGGTTGAATTGAGTAGGAGGTAGCACTGAGATAGTATTTACTACTAGCTATGTCATTGAGATTAGGTTAATGGGATACTCTACAATCAAACAGACCAAACATACATCTATCTATCCTAATAACCTTTGTTCTCTTCTACCTACCTATCTACCTACCTACTTCCACCAACCCACCCCCTTACTCGCTTTTAACCAACCAAATCAATCGAACTAACTTTCTAGGTACTTAATAACGATCTAGCCAGCCCACCAACCAAGCCAACCAACCAGCAACCCACCCTCAACAAAGCAATGGAGAGCAAGCAAAGCAAAGCAGCATACAGGCACGCAAACGGACTTGGGAGTCTGGGTCTGAAAACGCCTGCTCATGCAATATAAAATGCCATGCCAAAATGGATATAGGAAAGGGGGATAGAAGAAAAAAAAAGAAACACTATATACCTTTTTTTTTATCATCCTTAATTCCGAAACAGACAAAAGCCGCATACAAATATTTCAAGCAGAATGGAAAGCAGACAGACGGACATATGGATAGAGAGATAGAGGACAGGAGGGATATGTGTGTGGGTGTCGGCGATAAGAGCTTCAGTGTGTGTGTGGGTGAATGTTTTGTAAATGGTCACATGAGAACATCAGTCATCAAACCAAACCGTGGGGGAATCTAGGACTGAAACAAATGATCGGGTGGGTAAAAACAAATAAAAATGTTATAATAAGATGAAAAGACCACAACATCATGCGCTCAATCGCTGGATAAAGGACTGCCAAGGACGTTAGTAAGTTTAGTGCGCTGAATATATGGTTAGGATCACATACCGGGAAGAACTGCCGGAATCCCTTCATGTCCAGCCGGCCCAATGCTCCCACAAACTCCTCCACCAAGTCCGCTCCCATTCCCATTCCTGGCAACTCGCGATCCCGCAAGTACTGGAGGTACTCCACTCCTGTCTTGGCGTATATCGTGCGCTGCAGACCTCCTGCTTCGGCGAGGACCTGCTTGGCCTGTGCATCCTTCGAGTTGAAGGACGGGGTTGCGGGCAGCGCCCAGCACAGAGGCGACAGCCGGGTGATCATGAACTGACCAAATCCTGGCAGTGCTTGTTGCTGGGCTGCCGCACCATTCGCACCCTCCGGCGCAATGTCGGGCCCACCCCAAGAGCTGCCCATCTTTGACAGGACCGAGAACGCCATCTTAGCAGTAGTGAAGTCCTCAATGTCCTTGGCGAAATGCTCGATAGTACCGATGACCGTTTCGAACATGGGTTGGTTCCCTGGTGTCGTTAATTTTGCTTCTAGTATCAAAATCAATGAAACTTACGCTCGCTAATGATAACGGCTCCAAGCTCGTTGTTCAGTACCGCCAGCAGGAAGTTGAGGTATTCCCGCTTCAGCTCGGCCAGCTGGACCTCGTCATCAGTGCCGGTCGGGGCGTCTGCAATGCCGGAGAACACCCGCTGCAGGAATGGGGTCAACAGCGCATCTAGGATAGAGTAGATCTCCGCCTTGAACCCGAAAATGACTTGATCCAGCAGTCGCAGGAACAGAGCCATCTCATCACGGGAGGACGTCTGTGTGAGCAGACCGTCAATCCACCGCGGCAGCTGGGGCAGGATGCGGGATCCCAGAACGCCAATAAGGCGCGAGAATGCAAACCGAGCAGCTGTTCTGACATTGAACGATGTCTTTAGCGACTCCAGCGCGACGAGAGTAGCCTCGGAGACCTGCATGAACGCCTCCGAGACTTCAGGTGCAGGCAACGAAGCGGGGGAGCTGGTTCCCGGCATCCAGTCAGAGAAGCCTCTGGCAAGCGTACCCAGTGCCATGATATCGTGGTGTATCTGCAGTAAAGCCCGCTCATCATTGGCCTTAGCCGGGGCCAGGTTCTTCTCCATATCCATGAAGACGGGGTTCAACACAGACTGTGCGTAGAGAACCTGCTTGTCAGCGGGAACAGTCGGGGTGGAGCAGATGATGCCCACGGCCTCGAACAGGTACAGCTGGCTGTTAAAGACAGCATCGGCCGACCCCTCGTGGTCCTCTGAGGACATCTCATCACCATCCGAGCCTTCAGTCGGCAACTCAGCGTTGATCACGAGCAAGTCGCCCAACGCCTCGACGACGGTCTGCGCCACATTTCCAACATGGGTTCTAAGTTGCTTTACCAAGCGCTGGAAAAGGTACCATGACCGTGTCTTCACCTTCTTGACCGGGTGATGAACAAGTTGGAGGAAGCTCTCTAGCACGGTCGGAATCAGATGGGTGTGATACTGGAAGAAGGAGCTGTAGCGAACACAGATCTCCATGTACTGCAACTGGGTGGCTGGGTGGGTGAAAGACCGGATGTCTGACTCGACCATCTTCAACATCATACCGACCAACCTCTCCGCGGCCGCGTTGTTAGGAACACCCTTGTTGTACAAGCTGCCTGCCCTAACGGCAACCTCGCCGAACAAGAACATCTCGTGGAGAGCCAGGTCCAAGTCCCGCCAGTCGAGCTGAGCTCCCGATTGACGCAAGCTCTCGAATGTGTTTCCCACAACCTCCGAGACAGCCTCCATGCAGAGCTGCTCGTTGACGCTTGCGACGATCTGCTGCAGCACGCCCAGGCGCTTCCGAAGTTCTTGGAATTCTGCCTCGTCTGTCTGATCGTCTTCGTCACCCCAGGATGAGGTCTCATCGTAGCGCATCTTGGCGATGATGGCTTTCAGAATGGGAAGCAGGATGGATGAATGTTGTTCGGCCAGGGCAGGGTTGACCTTGGCGATCTTCCGCAGATAGGACAGGAGGTCGCTCACGCAGGGGATCACAGTCGAGCAGACTTCATCGTATTCATCGGAGAAGTATCTCAGGATATGCGGCAAGAAAGCCTGCAGCAGACCGGTGGCTTTGGCATTGCACTCGGCCGTGACGGTGTCCTGCTCCAAAGCCCGTACAATATCAATGACGGTAATGTTGACTAACTTGGCCACCGTTTCCGCCAGGTCAGTATCGTACTTGAAGGTAAACCTGTTATCATGAAGAGGGGGGCTGTTCGAGAGCTGAGTAACAATAGTATCGAGATTCAGGAAAATGATCATATCCATCTTATCTTCTGGCTTCATCTTCTTGCCGATAATTTCCGTGAAGACATCAACCGCCGCATCGCGCACCTTCTCTTCTCCTTCTCGGAGCTCCGCCTTCTGCGCTCGACCGAGCTGCTGGAACAAAAGGTCCAACATGGTCTGGTTCACCACAAGACCGATATCGATCCAGCTGACCCAGCTGCCGACCGCCCTCAGGGACATCTCAACGATCGTATCATTTCCGTCCCGCCATTCGGACAAGATCTGCTGCCACGAGTTGGCGATTTTCTGCATGTCGCGCGAGCGAATCAAATCCTTGAGCAGGTTGGCCTTGTCCTGCTCGGGGCGGGACCGAGACACAAGCACGTCACCAATTTCCTCATGGATCGCATTGATGACACGCAGGTAGAAGACAATTCCGAGCGGGTTGTCGTGACTCGTGCTGGCCGAACTCTTGTATGTGAGGCTGAGAAGGTCGTCAAAGAAAGTCTCCCAGCCATTGCCGTAGAGGGCTGAGAAGAGGAAGGTGATGGTCTGGGCGATCTTGTTTTGGATACTGGTCGAATCGGGGGTAACGTTATCCTGACCGTATACCTGGCGGAGATAGGCCATCAGGCCGTCCCGGACATAGCCCAACGCCTGGGGGTCAATGAAACCCGCCTGGGCCGCACTGTTGACCACTTCCAACGCCACATGCCGTATGATCTCGGAGTATTGGGGAGTCTTAGTGAAAAGGGTAAGGCAGACCTGCCATCCGGAGGGGTCGGTGCGGAGTTGGTTCAGGTAGTCGAAGGCCTGAGCCTTAAGAGTTTGGTCGGAGGTTGGGTTCCCGGCGATTTCAATGGCATTTGCTACCTACACGGGGGAGGGTCAACGAGAGGTCGACGGAGGGGGAAACATGGGAATGAGGGGAAATATGAGAGGGGGGAGAGGGGATATAAGAAAGGGGAGGAGGGGGTAGGATGGAGGGGAAGAGAGATCGGTGGTGGGGTGTGGGCTGAACAGAAAAAGAAAAAAAGCGAGCAAAGGTAAAAGAAGACAAAGACCAAAAGAGGGTCAATGTATAGACTAGGGACAGCAGCTTACCTGCTCTTCCATCTTCGACCAGCCGGGCTGCCTTCAGAGTCGCAGGACTCGGAAAGCAATGAGGGTGAGGGGGAGGGATCAAGGAACGATGGAGGTGGTTGTTCGGTCAAAATGCAGATGGCGGCGGAGAGTCATAGCAGAACAGAACTAGTCGCAGAGGCCAGCCTATTGAGCCATCACTAGTGCGTTGGAGCAAGTGGATTCTTTCTTCGGCGTCAGACCCAGTCACCTGGGGAAGCGAGAAACCGCAAATTCTGCTCACCGGACGAGTCGTACAATAGCTTGTCAGCAAAGGGGCTTGTGGACTTGGTATTTTCAAGAAAACAGTGATTGCTCTCGTGCCGATGACGTGCCGCCGGAAGGAAACAAAAAAGAAAACGACGAAAGAAATCTTTCGTGCCTGAGTTTGTGTGGCCGCTGTTCCGCCCCAAAACGGCAACGGGCGGCGTGCCGTTGCTGCCTGACCATTCAGGCATATTTTAAGATATAGTTACCCTTATGTCTACCCAACTATATGCCTTGTTTACTGATTGCTTGATACCATTGCATTGCAATTCATAACTCTACCATTATTAGTTTGAGCGGTCCATATCCCACTCAGCTTCATCCTCGCGCTCAGTGCTTCCCTTCCTGACGCAACACCTCATTCTCCATTTTCTCAAAGCCCTCTACAGCCTGGCCGTAACGCTCAAACACTCCAGGCTGGTAACCGTCCGCGATCTTTTCGATAAACTCCTCCTCGTGCCACCGTTTTCCAATCAGATCTTCAAAAGTCTGTCCCTCAGCTCGCTCCATGGCCCAAACCGCCTTATACGCTGCACCCAGCGCACAGGCGTTGTCACCAATCTCCAGCTTATACACTCCC